TAGTACACAGATCGAAATGAAAAGAGGTATTTCCTTCTTATAACTTATACACTACAGGTGATCATAGTTAAGCCCCTTTGAGCCTTCACATGTGAAGAATTTCTATAAAATACCCCTGTCAAGAACCACCCCACAATGGGCCAAATTTGGATGTTTTGGTTGACATTCCTTGGAGGAAAAGATGAGAAATATTTCTTTGTTCTCACTTGCATCAATCTTTTTGTGGTAATTTTAGGTGAGTTCTTATGAAAGCTTGAAACATCCCGAAATGAAGAAGAGCATTTATTTCTCTACCCAAACACTCATACCCTTTGTTCAGCCGAGTTGAGCCTGAATATTCATTTCGAAAGCCCGAGTGGTGATTGTCTTCCCACATTGAGGCAAGGCACAAGATTTGCCAAAGCAACTGGTGTTTGTTTGACAATGTGTGGAAAAATCTCGAAAGTCCTAGGAGCTCAAAAGAGTCAAAAGAGCAAAAGTCAAGTGAAAACTAGGGGGCATGAAAAAGCCGTGTGCCTGGTAAAAGCAATGCCAATGCCCATTGTAAAAAAGAGCAGAGAAAAAGTAGCATCAAGAGAAGAATTCTTTTGTGAAAAAAAAATGGCAAAAGTGAAATGCTTGCATGAAGAAAAGAAAAATCATTACAAATGCAAAAGTCATTAAAGAAAAGAGCGAAGCTCCTGTGTTGAAAGGATTAGTCAATAGGCTTTCGAGACAAATTGGATTTCAAAAGTCAAGTGTCTTCGAAAAAGATTGGATGATATGGTTATGATGCCATGGTGATCACCAACTCTTAAACCCCTTTTGAGAATTTTTGAGTCTTTCGAGCCTTTACTCAGACTAATGTTATAACCTTCTCCAAAGTCTCTTCTGATTGGGATAGTCCAAGCAGAAATTTCGATGTCCAAAGAAGTTACCGCTTGAAGAAGTGGGGGCAAGGTTATCTTATCTCATTTTAAGGTTTCTTGACCTGCAAACCTGGCGGAGATGCTGATCGACGATTATTTCATTTCTTGGCCTATAATGCTTATCCATTGTTGAAACCATGACCAAACCTACTTTACAGTCCTTTAAAAGACCTCTTGGATTGGTCAATAGGTACTTATTGCGAATGATTCTCGAAGCTTTCGACACTGGTAGTGTGATGTATATGGAGAAATCACGTTTTCTTCCCACATTAATGGATGGGATCAAACTGTCTTCTCAAGAGTACGTGAGAAGCCCTTTCCTACTAAGGAGCTCTTGTTTGGCATATTTAACGAGCCCTTTTCATGAGCCAAGGTCTTTTTTGACAAAGATTTATCTCCTAGGGGAATTTGATAATTAATGACACTTCTCAAGCCTGATGTCGATTTTGTGATATTGAATGATGTTGAATGTTTTTTAAACAATTAAAACTGGCTTGAATTGCTCATGCGATCAATGCTTCCTTAGTGATGATATTCTTTTGATAGTATCTTTCATGACATTCAAATGATTTTGATCTCGCCAGGTATGCTTCCCCTACCAGGGTGCCTGTTATAACATATTTCGTTAGATGTGCAGTGGCCATTTCGGAATCTTCTTGATTAATAGATTTATAGCTACGGAATTGCATGGTGAGCTTTCGTAGCCCGGAGCATCCCATCAACCTGGCTAGCTTTCGCAGCCCAAAGTCTTTTTTCCTTTGCACGGTGAGCTTTTGCAGCCCGGAGCACCTTAACGACCTGGTGAGCTTTTGCAGCCCAGAGTCTTTTTCTTTGCCTGGTGAGCTTTTGTAGTCCAAAGCCTCTTTCTTTGCACGGTGAGCTTTCGCAGCCCAGAGCACCTTGACAACCTGGTGAGCTTGCGCAGCCCAGAGTCTTTTTCTTTGCCTGGTGAGCCCAGAGCCTTTTCCTTTGCACGGTGAGCTTTCGCAACCTAGAGTTTTTTTCTTTGCCTGGTGAGTTTTTGCAGCTCAAGAGTATTTTTCTTTGCATGGTGAGCTTTTGTAGCCCGGAGCACCTTAACGACCTGCCCATATCACCCCATCGACCTGGCGAGCTTTTGCAGCCCAAAGTTTCTTTCTTCGCACGATGAGTTTTTGCAGCCCGGAGCATTTCATTGACCTGGTCTCCTTACGTGAAACTCGATTTCAAAAGGTTCATGGGTCTATCCTTAAACAATGCTTTTTACAACATCAAGCCCTGTGCGAAAAACTCTAGGCGTACTTTCAGGGTTTTATCCCCTTTGCCGTTTATAGGGTTTTAGTCTCGACACGAAATCTTTGACATTCATAGGGTTATAGCCCCTAGGCATACCTTCAGGATTTTATCCACTTTGCCGTTCATAGGGTTTTAGTCCCGATGCGGAATTTTTGACGTTCATAGGGTTGTAGCCCTTAAGCGTACCTTCAGGGTTTTATCCCCTTTGCCGTTCATAGGGTTTTAGTCCCGATGCAAAATCTTTGACGTTCATAGGATTGTAGACCCTAGGCGTACCTTCAGGGTTTTCTCCCCTTTGCCGTTCATAGGGTTCTAGTCCCGATGCGGAATCTTTGACGTTCGTAAGGTTGTAGCCCTCAGGCGTACCTTCAGGGTTTTATCCCCTTTGCCGTTCATAGGGTTTTAGTCCCGATACGAAATCTTTGACGTTCATAGGGTTGTAGCCCCTAGGCGTACCTTCAAGGTTTTATCCCCTTTGCCGTTCATAGGGTTTTAGTCCCGATGCGGAATCTTTGACGTTCATAGGGTTGTAGCCCCTAGGAGTACCTTCAGGGTTTTATCCCCTTTGCCATTCATAAGGTTAGGGTTTTAGTCCCGATGCGGAATCTTTGACGCTCATAAGGTTGTGGCCCCCAGGCGTACCTTCAGGGTTTTATCCTCTTTGCCGTTCATAGGGTTTTAGTCCCGATGCGAAATTTTTTACGTTCATAGGGTTGTAGCCCCTAGGCATACCTTCAGGGTTTTATCCCCTTTGCCGTTCATAGGGTTCTAGTCCCGATACGAAATCTTTGACGTTCATAGGATTGTAGCCCCTAGGCGTACCTTCAGGGTTTTGTCCCCTTTGCCGTTCATAGGGTTTTAGTCTCAATGCAGAATCTTTGACGTTCGTAGGGTTGTAGCCCCTAGGCGTACCTTCAGGATTTTATCCCCTTTGCCATTCATCGGGTTTTAGTCCCGATGCAGAATCTTTAACGTTTGTAGGGTTGTGGCCCTTAGGTGTACCTTCAGGGTTTTATCTCCTTTGCTGTTTATAGGGTTTTAGTCCCGATGCGGAATCTTTGACTTTCATAGGGTTTTAGCCCTTAGACGTACTTTCAGGGTTTTATCCCCTTTGTCGTTCATAGGGTTTTAGCCCCTAGACGTACTTTTAGGGTTTTATCCCCTTTGCTGTTCATAGGGTTTTAGTCCCGATGCAGAATCTTCAACGTTCATAGGGTTTTAGTCCCTAGACGTACTTTCAAGGTCTTATCCCCTTTGCCACTCATAGGGTTTTAGTCCCAATGCAGAATCTTCAATGTTCATAGGGTTTTAGCCCTTAGACGTCCTGTCAGGGTTTTATGCCCTTTGCTGTTCATAGGGCTTTAATCCCGATGCGGAATCTTTGACGTTCATAGGGTTTTAACCCCTAAGCGTACCTTTAGGGTTTTATTCCCTTTGCCATTCATAGGGTTTTAGTACCTAGGCGGAGCCTTTGACGTTCATAGGGTTGTAATCCCTAGGCGTCTTTTTATTTTTATCATTTTTTTCTTTTTTTGCTTAAAAAAAATCCAATCATTCCTTTTGCCCTAGGCGTTGCACCGTCCCATGCCCTCCGCCAACAAAATTTAGGTGCCTTTTGTCTTTGAATAGAACTTATTCGAAATCCCCTTCAAAGAGGGGCAGCTGTTGACACCTAAATTTTAACTATCCATTTAGGCTGCGTTTGGTCGTCCGGATTTCTAAACAGGATAGGACTGGATAGAATAGGATAAGAAATCCTGGGATTTCTTCATATCCTGTCCACTGTTTAGTGGACTACGGATTTAAAGTTGGATAGGATATATATATTTTTTTTTTTGCTATTCACGGATCCGGAGGAGTTAGTGTAGGAAAAAAAAGCTGAGAAATTTTTTTGGTGAAAGCGCACAAGGTGTGGGGATGAAGATGACGGCAAGTGGAGCGTAGGGTTTCTGGAAAAATAGGCATTAGAAATCCTATCCGGGTTTATCCCACCCCCGTCCCCCGGATTTTTTTATCCGGGTTATATCCGGTCTATATCCGACCTTATCCTATCTTGGACCACCACCAAATACAGGATAGGATAAAACATATCATATCCTGACTTTTATCCGGTCAACCAAACGCAGCCTTAGGGTTTAATTGCATATAAAATTAGGGGTTAAAATAAAAATATTTTCATTAAATTACATTGCATATAGACATTAGGTGCATTTGAATTAATGGAGTCTATTAGACATATTTTTCTTGTTAAAATTTTTTTAAAAAAAAAATTCAAAAAGAAAAATTGGGGCCAGCTTGACCCGATTCGACTAGACCAGATCAGCTCGGCCTGGTCTTTCTCTCCTTTTACCTTTCTTGCGCGGGTCGGCCCAGTCACCTTTCCCTTTGGCCCGGCCCGCGACCCCTTTTCTTTTCCCTTTAGCGTTTCTTGGCAGTGGGAACCAGAGGGAGGCGTGAGCATACTAGAGCAGAGGAGGTCGACGCACTGCAGCAAGGGCAGAGGCCGTGCGACGCCGGGGGAGCAGAGGCTAGAGGTGTAGCCGTGGTCCCCGGGCTATCCTTTTCTCTCTTGGTGTTAAAAGGAAGTGGGGTGTTCGATGAACCAGGGGGGTTTTTTTTCGGAGAGAACAGAGAGAGTTTGAGAGGAAGAAGAAGACGAAGGAGAGACCGAGAAGAGAAACGGGAGGGTTCTAAGAGGAGAGCGCTCCGGTTCCTCCACTTGTGAGGATCGCCGGTAAATCTCTTCCCCCTCCTTGTGGTTCGGTCGTCATCGTCGGACACCCATCACGCCATCGCTTGCGGCCGTTGCAATTCGTCTTGGTCGATCAAGAACCAGAGGGACACCCAAGGAAGGACCGAAAGAGGAGAAGGCAAAGAGGACATACGATGGGGGAGCAACAGAAAAAGAACATCAAGACCCATCCCGCTCGCTGGAATAGCCATCCTCTTCGTCGAAGATCCACCCGCTGGTCGCCGTTTGCCACCACAGCGGATACCCAAACCAGGTAACCCTCGAAACACCCTGTTTTCTTCTCGGTTGTGGGGAGGTTGAGGCGTTGAGACTCCTCCGACGAAACTGGTCGAAATCGAGGCTATTTTGTGGCTAGTGAGGTTGTAACAGTCTGAATTTTCGATCCTTTTCCCGGGATTTAGGAAATGAATTTGACCAATGCACTATAGTGAGATCTCACCCGGGACCCGCCCATTCTCGGGATGCTAACCTTAGGGGTAAGGCTATTACGGGATTGAGTTTGCACGACCAAAGAACTCGACCTGGGTTTGATCTTCGACCATATGGATTGACGAGGGAATGTTTTGAGCCAACCGAAGCTGGTCTATTTGATTGATCGTGTCCAAAGGGCACTAGTGACAGACCCTCGTAATTATATGACAATCGAGGTCGTCCTGGGAAGAGTAAACTTAAACGTGATTTGACTTAGTGTCGGTCACGGGTCGAGAGCGCGTAATTCCAGGGAGCTACCCGTTAGCAAGAGATAAGCTAAAGTCGCGATTGTTCAATTTTAGTCATTTCTTAGAATTCGGGACCGGGAATCGAGAATTTTGAAAGTGACAATTTTGAGCGGCCGATGACGTTTTTGGCTTGGCCAACTTTGGGGCCACCCATTTCTGCAAAAAAATGGATTTCGGTTCGGGGCCGGAAAAATTACGGTTTTACCCCTATGGACACCGATGTTGGATTTTGAGGTCGTTTGAGGTTATTTTTCGAGGCTAGTGTCATTTTGGGGTGGCCACGTGCATTTAGAGTTGTTTCGGTCAAAAATTGGAATTTTGGCTCGGAAGTGAAAAATAATATTATTTTATTCTCAGGACTTTGCTGTCGATTTTCGAGGGCTTAAGAAGCTATTTTCGCGATTCCGACGCCATATTATGTTGACCACGCATATTTGGGGTTGATTGGGATAAAAATTGGAATTTCGCACCGGGACCGGAAAAATGACAATTTTGCCTCTGGGCCCGTTTCAGTTCCGAATTTTGGGAAATTATTTGGGATTATTATTATTGGTTTTTTCAGCTGCATTATTGGGCCTTGGACAATTTTGCCCCTCAATTATTGGATTGGGTTAAACTTAGACCGTCGGATCAAGGGTAAAATGGTCAAAGTGCGTAGGATCGCGACACGTGGCACTTGGGGCTGTCATATTTGACCAGCTGACTCTCTCTCTCTCTCTCTCCTCTCATTTCTGACCAGCTCTCTCTCTCTCCTCTCCCACGTTCTCTCCCTCTCCCTCTTGGTTTTTCTCTCTCGGCAAATGACGCCGGAGCTCGCCGCCGCCGCACCGGAGCTCGAACGACCGAGCCGCTGCCGCCACGACGTCCAGCCTCGCTGTACGTCGCCGTCCGTACGGATCCGTACAGTGTCCGTACGGGTGTCCGTACGTCGGCGTCCGTACGCCGGCGACGCCGCCGCTGCTGTTGCTGCTGTTCTGTTCCACACCGTTCCAGCTCCGTTCTGTCTCGCTTTTTAGGTAAGTGTTTTCCCCAAATGTCATTTAGGACCTCGGGTATTTCTAGGCCCGTTTAGGACTCGATTTAGGCATTTTAGGGGTTGTTTTTGTGGTTATTTCGGGACTGAATCGAAAGCTGGAAATTGGTTTGTCGTGGACTGATTTGGCGATGAAATTTCGAGGTTTAGGAGGCTGAGTTAAGGCTGTGATGTTGCGGATTGATCGGGATGAAATTGGGTGCAGAAAATACTGTTTGCTGGCTGTGATATGCCGTGTGATGTGCTGTGAGTGGCTGTTCGATACGCGGTTAGTACCATTAGGACCGGCTCGTAATTTTATGAAAGTGCCGTGAAGAGCCGGGAGTGAGATACGGTGATTTTGAGGGCGAAAAAGACTGATTGATGGCTGTGATGTGTGGTTTTAGGTGCTGTGGGGTGCTGTTTGTCGTGTGGTTGGTACTGTTAGGTCCGGCCCGAGATTTTGTGAAATTGCTGTGAAGGGCCTGAACTGATTTGATAACGTTTGGGTGTGGAGAAATGCCAGTTTGTGTGTTGATCGTATGTGTTGTGATATGACTGTATGGTTGTTGGCTGATTTAGGATTGTGCTTGGGCTGATTGTGGACTGGCCATGTGTCGCGTGTGTGTGGCCGTGAAGTGTGGTGGTGTGGTAGTGCATTCGCGTATTGTATTCGCATGCCAACAATGTGTGATTGGGTAGTGTGTTCGTGTGACGAGAATGAGAAATTGTGAAATGTGTGTGTGAAATGTGTATGTTTGGCCGTGTGTTTGTTGGTCGTGTGTAAGTGTGGTTTGAGTGGAGCGAGGATATGGAAATGTGGTTTGGTTGGAAAGGTCCGTCTTAAGGGTGTACGTTACGCGGGATGATGCCGTCCCTGACGAGGTGACGATGCCCGGCCTGACGAGGTGTCGATGCCTGACGTGGTCAGAAGACCGTTGGCCTGATGCGTTTTACGCGGGCGCGGTAGAAGGAAAGTGTGTGTAGGATTCCGTCCTGAGGCGTGTACGTTTACGCGGGACGATGCCGTCCTTGACGAGGTGACGATGCCCGGCCCGACGGGGTGACGATGCCTGACGAGGTCAGAAGACCGTTGGCCTGATGCGTTTTACGCGGGCGCGGTAGTGGTGGAAGAGTTGAGAATGAGCGGGAATTGGCTTGAGGAGCGAGGTTTGAGAAAGTGACGCATGGTGTGAGTGGTGTACGAGTGTGTTTGTATCGCGTGATGTGATGCTTAATTATGGGGTAAAAACTGCTAGGCACGATATGGGACGTGCCCAAGTGGGTTTTATCTTATAATTGAGACACGCGCGCGTCTGTGATTTATTGCTGTGGTATATTGATTGTGTTATTGTCTAACGTGCAGGAACGTGTAAGATGGATTCCAGGTAGGTTCGTGTGTGGTTGGTAGTTTGATTGATCGTTGCATGTTATGCGTGTTTTCGTCTGGCGGTACGTGAGTGCCTACGTGGGGTTTGGGGTTGTACACTTATTGAGATTCGTCTCACGATTGTATAACCGCCAATTTCAGACCCTCAGCCCTAAACCCGGGAAGTGCGCCTTTTCTTTTTTTGAAAGTCCGGGGAACTGCTGTTGGTGCCCAGTGAAGCTGCAGGTGAGTTCCAGAGATTCAAACCAGAAATTCAGAAGCAAAATGGAAGAGGGCGACCCTTAGGTTTTTCCCTAGGGTGTTTTAGGGGTTGTATAACTTGGGTTATCCGATAGTGAAGTTAAGATAACCAAACCCCTGAACTTTTGTTTAAACGGTGGCTGAGGATGTTAGTCTGTATTTATGTCTGTAATATGATGTTTGTATATTTGGTGTTGTATGAATATGTGGTTGCTGGATTGTTCTGTTGTTCTACCCCGTTGTCGTCATTATTTGTCCGGGGTTTTGTTTTTCGCTTCCGCATGTGTTTCTGATGTTTGGGATTGGGTCGGTGATGTTCCTGGGACGTCGCAATAATTCGACCGGAGCGGGATGTCGCGAGCTCGATGGGGTTCGGGGCGTGATGGAGGTCCATTTAAAGTGTAACATACCATGTCTAAGTCGAATGTTGCATAAAACCCGAGCTAGAAGCCTCTACTCTAGTTGCACACTCCCTGCTCGATAAAAGGTCTCAATGAAACAATATAGGCTTAGGGCGTCGGATTTGTTTGAGATGATTGTTAGTGTTCATTGTAAACTGAGCCTGGTTGGTGGTAAAATATGGTCTCTTAGATCTTTAAATTTCACGTTTAGGTCAAAAACCATGCTGATTCTCAGTGTTAAGCTCTGGGTTTGAACTCGCATGCCATCTGTTCGACAAAATGCTCGAGAGAGCTCCGAATCTGTTTTTGCAAAATCGACATTCTAAAACTTTGTCATGCACATGGTGTTCTAATATTGTCATTGACGCCATGCTTCCTTTTCTTGCCATGTGATTTCGTCGTGATCCACGCTCCGCTCGAGTCGACCATGCATCACCTTCGCCGATGATCCCCATGGTCAAGAGTTAGCCGTCTTAATCTCCAGTTGTTTCACTTTGATGTGTGTAGGTATGATTTTTTTTTTTTTGCTGAGGGGGCTGCTGTTTGAATGATTTGGTGACTATATAAAGCAAAACAAAAGGTGAGAAAGCCGCTCTTGGTATGGGCCATTTGGTGGCGGCAGTTTTGGCGGTCGTAGAGGGGTGAGCCAACGACGGCTGTGGTGGCCGGAGGCAGGATGAGAGTCCCATATGGGCTTTCGGTGTCGGCAGAGCCCGTTGGTGGCCAGGGAGTGTGCGGCGGTGGCATCCTGGTGCGGCCTCAGTTGGAAGCGTGAAACCTCGGGCATGAAGGGCCCTTCGGTGAAGAACACATGAAGAAGAAGAAGTTCTGGGGAGAAGACGTCTAGAAGGAAAAAATTAAAAGAAAAATTAGAAAAGAAAAAGAAACAAAATAAAGGGGGAAAAAGAGAAACAAAAAAATCAGAAAAGAAAATAGAAAAAGGGATCCCGGGCGGGTCGAAGAGAGTCGGGTCAGATAGTCGGGCGGATCGGGTCAGGGGGCCCCGTCCGAAGTTTTCATTTTATTATTTAAAATATTAAAATAATAAAAAATATTAAAAATTCCAAAAAAATTCGAAAATGTTTATAAATCCAAAAAATATTTAAAAATTTTAAAAATAAAAAAATCAGAAAAAATCCAAAAAATTAGGAAATATTCAGAAATCAGTTTTTGGCTTAATTTCACTAGATTTTGGGTTAAAAAAACTCACAAAAAAATGAAAAATAAGTAAAACCCTCTAAAAAATTTCCAAAAATCGGATAAGCCATTAGGGCTTTATCTTAAGGCTTTTGATTGCATTTTCTTTTTAGAGACGATGCTAACTCGCTGATTGTTTATTTTCTTCATGATTATCTTGATGCGTACTTTTAATACATTGATTGTTACTTTCTATTTTTAGAACGGTTAGGTGGAATATTAGCATTTTCGATAGGCTGCCCGATACATTAGTTTGCGCACATTCAAGTAGGTATCGAAAGAGCACTAGTGTAATCAAGTTTTCGAATTTTAGAATCCGTGATTTTCGCTCGTATCGAGACGACACTCCCGCGTCTTGATCAGGGTTTCTAGCCGACCCTTGATCATGGTTAGTGGCGACTCCAATCAAATGCGTAAATTAGACAATTCTCGTCACGCGAGATATGAGGCTCGGGAGTGCCTCAGTCATTGGGTTAATGAACCATTTGGTTTGTCTGTCATACGAACCGATCATTGTTCATATCCATCGACAAATACTTCTTGGCCTAACCCGATCTTGGCCGGGGGTAGGTTGCGACAAGGAAAAAGACGAAAATACCCATGGGTCAAAGTATTATGAGGTAAATGTGTGTCACAAGTGGCATAGTTTGAGATTTTTCGTGTCACAAAAAAAGTTCAGGATAAATTTGTCACAAATGGCATAGTTTGGGATTTTTCGTGTTACAAAAAAATGTTCAGGATAAATTTATCACAAGTGACATAATTTGGGATTTTTGGTGGTATTTTCCCTTTATCGCTGTAGGAAAATAGGCCTTAATTCAGAATTTTTTTTACTAGAAGTTCGTAATAGCTCCTTAAACATTGGAATTTAAAGAAATATGATTAATTTGGGGGGCCGATCTTTATGGATCTATACGTAAACTTTTGTTTTCCGTACTCGGACCTTAATTGAAATTTCAAGAAGTTGGGGGACTAGGAGTAAAATCGCCCATGTCGGGAATATAGTTCCTGTTTTTTTTTCCCTTTTATTTTTTGAATTAGTGTATAAAGTTCCTGTTTTAACTTATGTTTAACTTGTTATTACATAGCAATGGGGTTCTCACCGCATCTAGCGGAACAACAAAGTTCAAGGACCCGAACTGAATATAAACTAGGAATTGAACCGTTAGGTGAATGGCTGAATCGAACCGATTCGCGACCCAAACCGAATATAAACCATGCTTTGGTTTTTGATTGGTTCGGTTCGAATTTCCGGAACAACAGAGTCAAGAATGGGTCCATATAGAAACACTAGACGCTTTCCATATCGTGTGACTAGCCCGTGAATTTACATCTTGATATTTTATGCCTAGTCTTTCTGTAATAATAAAGCATACCCAGTGATTTCTACATGGCATTACATCTCTAATCTCTCTAGACAATAAAGTCGTTACTTAAGGGACGTTGGCGATTTAGGTCGCTTGAGAATTCTACATGGCACTGTATCTCTAATCTCTCTAGACAATAAACACGAGGCATGCGTCTATTCCTCTTTCTCTCCTAATTACCGTACTTACTCTGTTTTCTTTTCTATATTACTAGTAACTAAGCGCCAATCCATGCGTTGAACGGACCAAAATTAAAGGATGAAATTCTCAATAAATAGAAACAAGATCAGAAATTACATCATTATATAGATGTAAAACAAGTCAACACTTGAAAAGAAAAAAAAAGGACCCCCACGATTGCCAAATACATGTTTAATGCGTATATATTACACTCATACGCATACTTAGTCATCGAGTTACCTTCCACGTAAACTTATAACAAGAAGACAGATATTTAACACTTGGAGAGATTAAGGTTGCATATCTCTCATTTTAATCATCTAAGAACTGGTCGAAAGAGAAAAATTGACTATCAAGATTTGAAACTATGTTGTAGCACAATAGCCACCAATATGTCCTATTCAATCCAATTTCGTCTCTTTAAAAAGAAAATTTGGTCGAAAGAGCAATCATAAAAAATAAAAGAGCTGCAAATATATTAATGATGACACGAAAGAAAAATAATTTACATTGCTACAAGCACTCAGTTTGTAATATCGACACGAATGAAATCAAAGAAGAAGAATTTTCAAGTTATTGCCTTTGATACTTTATGTTAAGAATTAGTGCACAATCACAAAGAAATAGCGAGTAAAAGTAAAAAGAAGAAATTGAGACACGAGATTTTATCCTGATTCACCCTTAAACTAGAGCTACAACTAGGAGAAGATTCAACTATAATTAGCACATCGCATCTCTCTATTATATCATCCAATTACAAGAGAAATTGTTCTCCAGTGGCTCTGGTACTATTTCATCTTATTCTTTTGGAGTGGTGATTAGAAACATCTATAGCTCTAGGGACCTTTATGTAATTTAACATTCTTTAATCGCCATTATAGGAGAAATAGTATGTCATATATTCTTGATTTAGTTGTTTTCTTGATATAAATATTCTTTTATTTATGGAATTTTAGATTTTATTAACTCATACCTAGACCCATCAAACGGGTGGGTCGGGTTGGGTTTAGGTTGGGTTGACTATGGTCCGACCCGTAGATGACCCATTTTCATGTAATGTAAATATAGTGACCCATACCCGACCCGATATGTACTCGATACATATCCGACCCTTATCCGACCCAACTCATACTACCAGAACACATTAATATTCTAGGAAAACTCATACCCACCCATTTAATCCACTTTAAACTCTTAACATATATACGTTATTTGATTTTTTTTATTATTTGTAATTTATGTCTAAATATTTTCATGAACGATCGAAATTTTTTTTATTCATTAATTTTATAAGCGATATAAATAATTAATTTTAAAATTTTTTAAAAATTATTTGATTTTCGTGAAATAAACAAAGCCAAAACATATCGAATGCACCAAATTTCGCGGGTACTGTTCACTCGGGCAGAAATGCTCTCTTCTGTGGTTCTCGCTGGTACTGTTCACCCGCCGGAGTGAGGTGGATTCCGGCTGATTCAGGCGGCGATTGGAGCTGAGTCTTGGTGACAAGGTCCATTGGGCTCCCTTCGTCCTCCCTTCCAAAGGAATCCTCTTCCTTTTCAGTGTTGAGGACGCATTTCCAGATCTGAATCTGTTCTTCTGGTTTGAATCTCCTTCGCGGTTACTGTTCATCCGACGAAGTGAGGTGGATTCCGGCTGTTTCCGGTCGTGATTGGAGCTGGTTGTTGAAGGCAAGGTCCCTTGGGCTCCCTTCTTCCTTCCCCCCCAAAGAATTCTACTTCTGTTTCAGTTTAGTGGGCGGATTACCAGACCTGAAATTCCTTTGGTGGTGTTCTTTCGCTGGTTCTGTTCTCCCGATTCTAAGGCTAGATTTTCATATCTGTATTGCTCGTCTTCTTCGCTGAATCAGACCAAGCTGAGCACTCTCTCTGCCATCCCTTCCTGAAGGTAATTCTCTGGTTGGAGTGGAAGTTGTGCGTGTGGTAGTTGCATTTATGCTGGTGCGTAGGATACCTGCTGGAATTATTGCTTGTTCTGGTTTCCTGATGTTGGGTTGACTGGTTGGTGGTAGTGGTGTGATCCCTCTGGAGGAGGATACAATGTCTGAACCATCCCCTGTTATAGCAACTGAACCCCCTGTTGAGGAAGGCCATCAGACGGTTGTAGGTTCTGAAGTGAGCAGAATGCCTGGAAATGAAAATGCTGCTTCCTTTAAGACAGCTGAGCCTAGGGGGAAAGCGGTTGCTTTCACTAGAAAAAGCCCCCCTTCTGGTTCCAGACCTGACCATAAAGGGAATGCTAGGCGTAGTCGCAGCAGAGGTCGTTCCAAAAGTCGGCATACCCCTAGACATGCCCACATTGCTAGCCCTCCTGCTGGTACCGATCTTAGAACACTTGCTGCAGGCCACGCCAATAAGGAGAGGCCGAGATCAAGCACTCAACTTGCTCCTGCTCAGGCGTCCAGATCTTGGGCTAATGTGGCTAAGGCCTTGACAAAAGGGTACAACCTGGCATATGTCCCTCCCTTGGTTGAAAATGGTGAGATCATTGTCGACATAACACCCGAGGTTCTTCGCCGAGAGAGTCCGAGGTGGCTGGAATGCCTAGTCGGTCACTACATAGGGAAGAAAGTCCC